AGGATGGGGATAGCGGAACCTGTTCTTGTAGAATTGGAGTAATTGATTAGCATTTGAGCCACTAGTCTCAGCTACACGACTTGTGTTCACAGGAATATTAGCGACAAAATTTTGCCAGTCTTCATTTTTTTTTTCATTTCTTGAATTTCTTCATCATCCTCAGGTAATTCTTTAACCTTAAAACAGCAAAGTTTCAAACAATTGTATAAGAAAGTATTATTTACTACAACTCTTCTTTTTAGTAACAAACTCATAAAAAACAAGTCTTTGTTGACTACGACTTACTTCTTCCAGTTGTTCATCATCTAGGCATAGTAGGTATAGTGGTCTACTTTCAGAAGTCTCATTATCTTGTAATTGAGACACAACTTGTCTGACAATGTCATTATAGATAATGGCATAATTTCGTGTTACATACTTTAATGACATTATTAGCAATGAGTGTTTTAATTGCCTTTTGTTGCGTAAATATACTTGTTCAAGGAAATAGACAAAAGGTTTTTGGAAATTCTTAGCTATTTCATTGTTTGTTATTATACTATATTTAAATAAATCTATATAAAATTCATGTAATCAAAATGCTGCTAACTTGATTAGATGATGTAATGAGAAAAATTCACAACATTTGTCTTTAGCAAATTGATACCTTTCACTACAAGCTGCTAAAAATTCAGTCAAATGGAGCAGTTTATTCTGTGCATATATCACCTAACAGTGTATAAATAATATATATATATATAACTGAGTGCTGTTTTATACTTCATCTTTCTGGCTGGATTCCTTTAAAAGATTTACTGCATTACTAATACCCTCAGAGCTCAGAACATCACTGAAGCAATCATGATAAGAATCCAGAAAAAGCTGAAAAATAAACTTTTGATGAATGAAAATAGAAGGCTCCGCTGTGTCTGGCTGTAAAATAATTTCAAAGCATAACAGCAAAACATATACTATTACTTTCATCAGAACTGTAATAGCTATAAAAAAATCCAAATATTCACTATTGTCACTGTGATAAGTGCTGGCCAGAGTGTACATACACTCAATATCATTATTGCTCATTCTCAGACAAAGCTCTCTGTTTTTCTCAAATACCTGCAAAAAGTTTAATGAAGAGTGGATGATGAAATACAATTACTTCAGCCAGCAAATGAGCAACTGCAGCAACTCCTGTCCTGACTTTTAATAACTGAGGGATACTGACAAATATCTTTGCTTTCACCTAATCATACATGTACATACATGAATATTACAATACAAAAATATATCACAACCATTTTATTTCCTCGGCATATTAATTGCAGAAACTTAAATGCCCGATTAAGAAGTTGGGGCTGATTTGTATTTGCGTGATAGACTCCTTGTGAGAATTTCAACACATATACCATGAGTGCTGAAAAAATACCTATTGATAAATACAATAAAGTGTAATAAAATACAAAGTTAACAAATCATTACCAGATGTATATGCTAGCATTTGAATGCGCCTTCGTGGTACTATATTCATGTTATCTTTTTTAACCATAGCACAACCATACCACTTTAAGTCCTCTAATGTACCTACATAAGCATGTAAACAATAAAAGTAATAGGTCACAAGTAATCTTACAAATATTTCCCAATCCTTGTATCAATACCAATAATGACTGATTAGCATCCGTAAAACTTCCCCTTTTAGTAAAATCTGTGACTGTACTATCCTCTTTAAAAATAAGATAAGAATTTTTTGCATCTTCAATTATTATGTGCTCTATCTACATAATGAGATGGATAATCATACAATTATGCATAGCTACAATGCTATAATGCTATTATATTAATCAGCTGGAATGAATGCTATTAAATGACAAATTTTTAAGGGAATTCTTTTTTAATTTGTAATTTTTACTGGAATCACTTAGTTATGCACAAAACTTGATTGGCTCTGAATTTTGCAAAATGAAGAAAATGAAGAATACTCTCTAAGCAATTTTTAGAGATGGATGGCAGCAACTGCCACTTTGATTAGTAAAAATTTAGCCCCTTAAAATTATATCATATTGGTTTGCCTTACATATTGCTGCCTAATAACATTTTGTTTATACTCACGTTATGCATGTCATTAAGTAATG